ATCTTTAGAGAGGAGAGAGGGCTGTACCAGGACAAGGTGTTCTGCTTCGTCCATCTGAGTGTTCAGGAGTTTCTGGCTGCTCTTCATGTTCATCTGACATTCATTAAGTCTGGAGTCAATCTAATGGAAGAACCACAAACATCCTCAAAAAGGTATTCTTTTTTTCAAATGCCAAAACTAAAATCGCTCCATCATAAAGCTGTTGACCGGACCTTACAGAGTCCAAATGGACACCTGGACTTGTTCCTCCGTTTCCTCCTGGGACTTTCACTGCAGACCAATCAGAGACTCCTACAAGGTTTGCTGACACAGACAGGAAGTAGCTCACAGACCAATCACGAAACAGTTCAATACATCAAGGAGAATATCAGTGAGAATGAGTCTGCAGAGAAAAGCATCAATCTGTTCCACTGTCTGAATGAACTGAATGATCGTTCTCTAGTGGAGGAGATCCAACAGTCTCTGAGTTCAGGAAGTCTCTCCACAGATAAACTGTCTCCTGCTCAGTGGTCAGCTCTGGGTTTCATCTTAGTGTCATCAGGAGAAAATCTGGATGTGTTTGATCTGAAAAAATATTCTGCTTCAGAGGATGTTTTTCTGAAGCTGCTGCCAGTGGTTAAAGCCTCCAACAAAGCTCTGTAAATACTTTTCTTTTATACCATAATTTATACATTTGTATCTTTTGGATGTCAAGCAAATCAAATATGCTTGGTCAAGTATTTATTCTGTATTATATTTGCTGTTGATAGAACTGATTATGTATGTTAATTATATATTTATTATTGACCCTTTAGGTTGAGTGGATGTAACCTCTCAGAGAAAAGCTGTCAAGCTTTGTCCTCAGCCCTCAGGTCCCAGTCCACTACTGTTACAACACTGGACTTGAGTAATAACAATCTGAAGGATTCTGGAGTGCAGCTTCTGTTACATGGACTGGAGAGTTCAAATCACAGCCTGAAGACCCTTAGGTAATGATCATGGAAAAGAATTTTCCTTTCAAGCCAAATTCTGGTTTTTATATCTATCTCAAATCACATCCAATGGAATAAAATAATGAAGACGACACAGTTTACAATACAAACTAGTTCAATTCTAGACATGAGGAAACAGTCTACACCAAATTCAGTTTAAGGAAAATAGCATACCTTCAATTTAGTAATGCATCACATCCACCTAAAATTATGTACTCCATTTCAAATCAATGAGAATAATATAATAACATTCAGTTGATCATAAAAAGTCAGAATGGTAAATATTCTGTAAGTCAGAAAAAGTGGCTGTTTGGAGTTGTAAACTCTGCAGAGTCTCTCATCCAGAGCAAATTAAGGGGACCAAAAGGAGTTCCTACTGCTATTTACTTGATTGACTCAGTGAGTCACTTCATCCTCAATGTCAGGGAGAGACTGCTGCAGAGTCATTGACTCGATGGAATCAACTAGGTTTCCTTAGATGGAAAAATTGTATGTGTTTGATCAATTGAACTTGGCTGCACTACAAGACTTAAATGTGCCTATATAACTACATTGATCAGATTATTTCTTTGCAAAGTGTCTTTAGAGGATATTTATTTGAAACTGAGGATATGCAGTACAAATAACTGAAGAGAATTGATTTAAAATAAATTAGTAAACATTTTTATGCTCTACTTCAGACTGAGTTGCTGCAACCTGTCAGAGAGAAGCTGTGAAGCTCTGTCCTCAGCTCTCAGCTCCCAGTCCTCCAGTCTCAGAGAACTGGACCTGAGTAACAACGACCTGCAGGATTCAGGAGTGAAGCTTCTCTCTGCTGGACTGGAGAGTCCAAACTGCAAACTAGAAATTCTCAGGTAAGCTACAGATTTTTTTAATTCTCTTTCTAAATGCACCAGACATGGGAAAGTGGTTAGCAACTTGGTCCAAACTTTTGTACAGGACTCGTGTTGAAAATGTCCCCAAAAGAAAAAAGCTGTGTTGTACTGACAAGGATCAGATTTTGGAGCATCTCGTTAAGTAATTGGTTTTCCAGTATCAGTGGAGCTGGTTGAATTCTTTAAATTCCTCTGGATAGAAATGAATAATTGACTCCTTCTCCCTGCATGTGGCCCTCATTTCTGAAAAGGTTTATCAACGTCTCCACCTGCTGAGAAAACTAGGAGTGTTTGATTCATAAAAATGCATTGACATTGGTTTATAAGACATTTATTAAATTAATTCTCATATTTTAACATCTCCTAATACAGTTTGATTACAATGAAACACAAAACAAAAAATTTCTCCCAACAAAATTACTGGTTCAATTCAACACTTACTGCTGAGCCGCACAATGCCTGTGTGGTCAGGAAACCTACCTGGATCACAGAGTACCATTCACTATGCCTTCATAGTGTTTCCAGCTTCTTCCTTCTAGCAGGTGCTATAAAGTAACTCCTGTCAGGAAAATTATTTCTAAAAATAATTTGTCTCCTATAAAATGACCCTACTAAACAAGCTACATTTCCTTTATTGGGTTCTGTTATACAAGAACTTTTATACTTTTATCTTTTTTTATTTTTGCTGAGTTTCTTTGATAATTATTGTTTGTTTGAAAACAAACATAGTAACATGAATCCATGTGCATAAACATATTACACTCACTTTACAAAACTGTAGGGCCTGAATGCATCCATGTTTATAGAATGTGTTTATTATCAAGAAGAAATATTTCAAGATTTTCTGATTTATTAATCAGTTGCAATTGTTTCTTAGTTTTTATTATTTGGAAAAACTATTTTGTAGAAATTTGATTCAACCTGAGTCATTTTTGAAAAAAGCTATGAATTTTCTTTGCTTTTAGCTTGTCGGGCTGTTTAATCACAGACGAAGGCTGTTCTCATCTGGCCTTTGCTCTGGCCATGAACCATTCTCATCTGAAAGAGTTGGACCTGAGCTACAATTGTCCTGGAGAGTTGGGAGTGAAACAGCTGTCGTTCGGACTGAATGATTCACAATGGAGACTAACCACTCTAAGGTATGGAGACACCTGATACAGAGAGTTTAGTAGAAGAGAAAAAATAAAAACAAGCTCTGTTTTATCTTTTTCTCTTTCTTTTCCTGGATATAAATATTTTTTGTGACGCATAAGTTTCCACATGTGACCTGCCACAAGTGATAAAATCATAAATGATTATCTGAAACATTGTCACAAAAACAGAACAAATTTGAAAGTGGGCAAACTATTTTTTTACACCACTGAATTACTTGTGGAAAAGAGCTATGTTCATTTTAAGGTCCCACCTGGACATTTACTGTTTTAAACCAACATCTGTCCACCGCCTCTACAACTGGAGGGATGAGCATCACTCTGTGAGTCTGTCTGACTGGCTCTCAGAGACCAGCAGCAGTTGCTTTTGGCTCAAGACTGAATGATGACTTGGTGGTTCCTCCTTTTGGATTTTGAACCAAGCAACTGTCTTAGGAAAATCTATCTTTTCGGTACTTTTAAATTATTTTTATTAATTGATTTCTAAAGTGTTCATTTTATCTTCTGTAGTTCTTAGTAGTTAAGTATCAAATAAAGTATTTTTTTATTTTTATCTTGCCATAAAATGTCTGTGCTTGCTGCTGAAAGAGACTGATGGTCTGACCCTTGACCTTTGCCTTTTCAGAGCGGACCCTGCCGGTGTCCAGTGGTTGACACCAGGTCTGAAGAAGTGTAAGTGTGTTTTTCATTTTATGAATAACAACAAAGCAGCTTACATGCAACAATTTTCAACTTGTTTCACTTTTCATGTGTCATAAATGTGTTAATTATCAGTAACGGGGTTGTCTTTTTTCTCTTCATCAGATTCTTGTCAACTCACAGTCGACTTAAACACAGTGAACAGAGAGCTCAGATTGTCTGACAACAACAAGAAGGTGACACGTGTGAAGGACCGTCAGTCTTATCCTGATCATCCAGATAGATTTGATGTCCCTCAGCTGCTTTGTCAAACTGGTCTGACTGGTCGTTGTTACTGGGAGGTTGAGGTGAGAGGAGAAGTGGATATATCTGTGAGCTACAGAGGAATTAGAATTAGAGGATACAGTGATGCTTGTTGGTTTGGACGGAATCATCAGTCCTGGAGTTTGTTCTGCTCTGATAAAGGTTATTCTGTCTGGCATAATGCCAAAAAAACACCCATCCTCTTCTCCTCTTCCTCCTCCCCCTTCTCCACCTTCTATGTCTCCAACAGAGTAGCAGTGTATGTGGACTGTCCTGCTGGGATTTTGTCTTTTTATAGAGTCTCATCTGACACACTGATCCACATCCACACCTTCAACACCACATTCACTGAACCTCTTTATGCTGGATTCAGAATCTTTCCTGATTCCTCAGTCTTTCTATGTTAAGGTTAAAGAGTCTCTGAGAAAACAGACACATGGAAATTAGAATTGTTCTTATTTGTTCTGTTTCTGTCTATTACACACCAAATATTGTCTGCATCAGTGGTTGGGACTCTTTCAACATAACTTTACCAAGAGGATTCAGTTGCACAATATATTTATTAAAAATGATTGATCCTGTTTTATTACACAGAAATTAATCTTGGACACTTAAGACTTTCTCACTCATACACATATTTTGAAAATATTTCTGATTATAACATGTATTTTAATATATAACAGCATAATTAAAGTAGTGCAAAGATGTTTAATATTCTACATAGTAATATTGGAACAATATTGGAACAATGGGGGGATTTCCACTCAATCTGCCTCTTATTGTGTCCTTGGGAAAGTTACTTCACCCACCTTGGCTGCTGCCTTTGCTCAGAAAGGCTGATGACACAAAATCTCTGGGACTCAGTGAGTCTGTAGCTGTGGCTATAATCCACAGTCACAGACTGTGGATTATAGCCACAGTCTATAATTATAGTCACAGTCTGTAATTATAGTCACAGTCTGTAATTATAGACACTAAGACTGATGATTGCCTTCATCAGAGTGTGAATGTGTTCTTGAATGTCAAAGACTATGTTCAATCCTATTCAAGTCTGGTTTTGATTCTAAAGATACTTATCACTTTGTATCCCTGTAAAATGTCTAAAGAATTTCATTGATATGTATTGACCTGCAAAAACAAAGTAAGACAGATTAGTACAGTTAACTGGAGAAATAAAGTGGAAAAAAGGGAGAAAACACCCATTTTTGATGTATCCGTATTAGAGAACAGACCTATTGAATAAAAAAAATAAATGTTGCAGTCCTGTTTGTTGTTTAAATGTATTATTAGCTTTTTCCATTGTTGTTTATATGATTTCAAGATGTTTCCCTTTCTATTATTATTATTTTAATATCTACCATTCAGCTGTGATGAAAGTGCAGAAATATACTTATACAGACTGTAACCTTTGAAATGTTCAATAAAAATGAGCTAATATCAATAAATAAAGCTAATCAGTTTATGTTGAAAAAATATAATTCACTTTTCACTTTTTTTCTAAATTTCTGGGGAAAATAATTTGAACAATCTGTAATTCTACAGAAAATTGACCATATTATTGTAGACTGAGTTTCTTAAAACTCTCTAAAGAGAAGAACTTTGAGGTTTTTTAACCCAACTGAACACACCTCATATTAACAGCAGATTTCTTATATTGAGCTTAATGTGGGGATCAGAGATTATCGGCAGTCTTTTGAGCATTGTTTTATGAGACAGCATTTACCTCACATGGTCAACATTTTAATCCTTTAAAGTAGTAATAATACAGGATTCAGATCAAAAAGCTGCCCTATAATTTAACAGACGTTCCTCCAGGTTTTACTGTTCTTATCCACTCAGTACACCACTGAGGGTACTCAGTCATTACAGATCAGTATTACCTAATTTCTACCACCTCACAAGTTGATCTTCTCAGTCCCGCCACTCTAAATAATTATAGATTATTTGTAATTCTTAGAGTTCTGATATAATGTTTTAAATGTGTGTTTTGTTCTTTTGCTTTGTTCTTGTGAGTGATGTTGTTTTATGTGGACTGTGGAGACTACTGCAGGTAAATTGTGCCTCAGGAATAATAAAGTATTTGAATTCAATTCAAGTCTGTTCAGCTATGCTTCTCTCCTAAATGAAACAACTAAACTAACTGCTGTTACTGTAAACTTTCTACTATCGCTTCGACCTAGAAAAATTACTCTTGGTTAAGAACTCCTGGATCTTTTGCACTTCTGCTCCCATAGTGCTGAGCCTGGCAGCACTAATCAGACACACAGCACCTTCCTGATGAAGAGGAGTTGTCCTTTTTATAGCCACATCATGCTCAGTATGCTCATTCAGGAGAATGGATTGTTGCAGAGTTGGTGACTTGATACATCCTCACGGGTTTCCATGCTGGAAGGTTTTTGTACATGGCTCTGTGGCTTCTAAATAGTTTATATTTAACCTCTGCAGATTCCTTAGTGTCCTGTATCCAGTATCCAAAGATTTTGAAAAAAATAACATCTCCTAGGTAACCCTAAGCACATGTCATAAACATAAATGGTCATTAATTAAAAGGTGTGCCCTTTATTTAATATGTTTTGTAAAGAGTAACTGGTGAATGTCTTAGGTAAAATGTAGTCAGTTGTTTGAAATACAGATTGGTGAGAAAAAAACACTGCTTAAGCTGCTTCCCCCTGTGGTGAAAGACTTTGGGTAAGTCAGATGAGCTTATTGTTGGTTGATGGCCTCACCCAAGGTTAATTACAGAAATGTTTATGGGTGTATACTGAGTGGTGAGACTGGTTAGAAGAGTTGGAGTTGGCAGTAGAGGAAATAAATGATTAGAGAGTCAAATTGAGAATTATGTCTCCTCTGTTGGCAAGTTCAGTCAGGGTCTGTTCAACTGGTTTT